TGACTAACTAGAAAAGACACTAATACTTGGAAAGATCAAAGACAGTAGAAAAAGAGGAAGACTGCATTCCAGATGGATAGACTCTGTCAAGGAAGCCAAGAGAGTAGTCTGCAAAACCTGATGATGACAGGATGCCGTGGAGATTACCATATATTGATGGCAGTTAACATATGACAGTTGTTTTGCCCTACAACTGCCAGCACAAACAAGCTGTGAGCAATTATGGGACTCCTGTTTAACTTAAATAGTACACATAGAGACAACACAGTTTAATAACATAAGTAACGTATGTATATACCGTATGTTTAGGGCTAAATTAAAACTACATCTTTTCTTTTTTCACCAGAGCATCTTATTACTCCCCTTATTATTTCACAGGAGCCCTGGATGGTGCAGTGGGTTAAAGTGCTGAGCTGTTGAACGTTGCAGATTCAAATCCGGGGAGCGGCATGAGCTCCCACCGTTAACCCCAGCTTATGCAAACCTAGCTGTTCAAAAACATGCAAATGTGAGTAAATCAATAGGTACCGCTCTTAGGACAAACTTAGAACAGGCGACGAATACCTCCAGCTCATAGAAACTCCAATACTGGGCCATAAAGTCTCACCCCTCCTTCCTAAGGCCCTTTCAGCCAATAACAAAAAGGAATTGCAATGAAACAAACCTTTGTTCAATAGTGTGATTGTTATAATGTATTTTAGGTGCTGAAATCAAGAGACACAATGAAAACATCTCATGCTGTTATTTCCCAAATTTGATATTCTTATCGATTCAGTTGTACTCAGTTTTGATCAAGTGTGGACGTTGATGTTCCAGTGCAGTTTCTTCTAGTGCTTTCAAATGGTTCTGTGTGTTTTATCTGTTTGAAAGTCTATGAGAAGGTTTGAACTAGATGGGTTGCAGGCTATTGTTATGTTCATTGTTATTTTAGATTAGAGTCTGCAAAATGCTAACATGTTTAATGATGGTGTGTATAAGTTGTATGAAGAGGTTAAATATATGTATATGTTTTTTTCAAAATACCATGCACTTCCTTGTCATAGATATTAGTTCTTTATTATCTCATTTTTGGAAAATATTAAAAATATTTTAAAAATTAAAAATTAAAAAGAAGACTTGAACCCCTTTCTTACTGTTTACTCCTTACTCCCCAAGAAATCTTACTGAGTCACATATTACAAAACAAAAATGTCACAGGAAGTTGTGAAAAAACTATGCAATGGAGCAAATCTTGAGGTTGGTTTTGGATTTAAAACATCAAATTCCTATAAAACCAGTATTGTTAAAAAAGTTTTTATGGCCCACACTTTTGCAGGCCTGTGAATGATGGTAGCTAATAGAGAATTTGCTGTCTCAGCCAGTGTTTCCGCCACTGGATGGACAAGTCCCAAGATTTTGACTCATCCATCCCTTTAAAATGCTTGCTAAGACTCTTTGGCTTGCTTCTCCTTTCCAAGCCAATGCCTTTAGGAGGATGTGACATCAAGGATATGGTGGTGGTGGTGGGAGGGCTTCCAGACAGGCCCTATATCCAAGGATCTGATCCTAGGTTTTCTGCTTTAAACTGGATTATATGAGTCCACACTGCCAGATAATCTGGGATAAACAGTATACCTGGGATCAGATCCTGGGATATAGAGCCTGTCTGGAAAGGCTCATTTACAGACTTTACTTTCTGTGCCTCTCTAGACTATAACTCCCAGGATTCCATAGAACTGAGTTACTGCAGTCAAAGTTGTTTTGAACTGCATCAATTCTACAGTTAGCTGGCTGGGACTTCTGGGGTTGAAGTCCAAAACGCCAGGAGGACTGAAGTTTGCCCAGGCCTGGTGTAGGTACGTCCAGAAGCACCTGAAGGACTAGAAGTTAATGAACCATGACTCCCGTCATTCAAGAGGAAAACTGTGTTCCCACATTGAAACCTTGAAACATTATGTGAATAGAACAAAAGACACAATGATCCCAGATGTACTACTGCAAGGCCACAGAATCAGACAAGGAGCAACAAAGAGTATCACCAGTTAAACCAATCAAAAGCTCTTTCTACATTTCCCACTTAATCCAGCCTAGTCAGTGCTGATCCCCATTTACAATAGGACGGAAGTGCATTCCTGGATTACTAGCATGCAAAACACCCATTTGCTTCTCTCTTAATCAGAAAACCAAACTTTACATGAAACCAGACTGTTCCTTGTTAGTAAGAGGTTGAGTATTCCCATACCCAAGATGCTTGGAACAAGAAGTATTTTGGATTTTTTCCCCATATTTCCATATATCTGTATTTACATGTATGTGCAAAATGAGACACCATGGAGATGCCTGCTGCCCCAAATCTAAACATTAAATCCACTTATGTTTCATGTACCCATTATACTCATATCCTGAAGGCAATTTTATATGACAGAGGGTTCATCTACACTGGATAATTAGTGCAGTTTAACATCATGTTGTCGAAGGCTTTCATGGCCGGAATCACTGGGTTGCTGTGAGTTTTCCAGACTGTATGGCCATGTTCCAGAAGCATTCTCTCATTACATGTCACCCACGTCTATGGAAGGCATTGTCAGAGGCTGTTTCCTCTGAGGATGCCTGCCATAGATGTGGGTGAAACATCAGGAGAGAATGCTTCTGGGACATGGCCATACAGCCTGGAAAACTCACTGTAACCCAGTTTAACATAATTTTAACTTCCATGGCTCAAGGCTATGGAATCATGGGAGTCGTAGTTTTACAAGCATGGCTGTGCATCCCCAAACTACAAATCCTAGGATTCCACGGCCTACCAGTTAAAATGGTATCAAGCTGCCTTAACTCTACAGCACAGATGCACCCTGAGGAACTTACAAGTACACCTCCAACTATTTCTCATTATCTGTAAATGTAGCTTGAAGATAACACTGACTGGTTTTTGAGATAACATGTTGATGAGCCTTTGAGTTGTTTCTGACTAATGGAGAGCCCTATTTATTAATGACTTAGATGCAGGCTTAGAAGGAATGATCATCAAGTTTGCAGATGACACCAAACTGGGAGGGATAGCCAATACTACAGAAGACAGGAGCAGGATTCAAAATCATCATAACAGATTAGAGAGATGGGCCAAAACTAACAAAATGAAGTTCAACAGGGACAAATGCAAGATACTCCACTTAGGCAGAAAAACTGAAATGCAAAGATACAGAATGGGGGACGTCTGGATTGACAGCAGTACTTGTGAAAAAGATCTTGGGAGTCCTTGTGGACAACAAGTTAAACATAAGCCCACAATGTCATGTGGCGGCTAAAAAAGCCAATGGGATTTTGGCCTGCATCAATAGGAGTCTAGTGTCTAGATCCAGGGAAGTCATGCTACCCCTCCTATTCTGCCTTGGTTAGACCACACCTGGAATATTGTGTCCAATTCTGGGCACCACAATTGAAGGGAGATGTTGACAAACCGGAATGAGTCCAGAGGAGGGTGACTAAAATGATAAAGCGTCTGGAGAACAAGCCCTACGAGGAGTGGCTTAAAGAGCTGGGCACATTTATCCTTCAGAAGAGAAGGTTGAGAGGAGACTTGATGAGGGCCATGTATCAATATATGAGGGGAAGTCATAGGGTTGAGGGAGCAACCTTGTTTTCTGCTGCCCTGGAGGCTAGGACGTGGAACAACGGCTTCAAACTACAGGAAAGGAGATTCCACCTGAACATGAGGAAGGACTCCTTCATTGTGACAGCTGTTCAGCAGTGGAACTCTCTGCCCCGCAGGCGCCTTCTTTGGAGGCTCTTAAGCAGAAGCCGGATGGCCATCTGTTGGGGGTGCTTTGAACGTGATTTTACTGCTTCTTGGCAGGGGGTTGGATTGAATGGCCAATGAGGTCTTTTCCAACTATGATTCTATTAATTCACTGAGTCCCTATACTGGGAGAAAGGCAGGTGAAAAAAAAAAAGGAAACAAAACAAAATGCCACTTGTTTATTTTTTTCCTAGCCTGAACCTAACTGGGTGTTTTTCCTTAGGGGGGGGGGCGGCTTAAAAACATAACCATTGGAGGCATCTACATGTAGAATGAATGCAGCTTGACACGACTCTGGAGCCCTGGGAGTTGTAGCGTGGTGAGGCCCCAGCCCTCTTGAGCAGAGAAGGCTAAAGACCTTGTGAAACTGCAGCTCCAATGATTCCACAGCTTTGAGTCATAACACTTCAGGTGTTGCCAAGCTGCATTAACTCTACATCAGTGGCTCCCAACCTTTGGGCCTCCAGGTGTTTTGGAGATTCCATCTGAACATTAGGAAGAACTTCCTGACTGTGAGAGCCGTTCATCTGTGGAACTCTCTGCCCCAGTGGTGGAGGCTCCTTCTTTGGAAGCTTTTAAACAGAGGCTGGATGGCCATCTGTTGGGGGTGCTTTGAATGCGATTTTCCTGCTTCTTGGCAGAATGGGGTTGGACTGGACGGCCCACGAGGTCTCTTCCAACTCTAAAATTCTATGACTTCAACTCCCAGAAATCCCAGCTGTTAGGAACTGTGAGAGCTGAAGTCCAAAACACCTGGAGGCCCAAAGATTGGGAACCACTGCTCTACATCCTAGATACACTGTTTAAAAAGTTCAGTTCTGAATGGCGGAGGAGAATGCCTCTGAGCATGCACAAAGTGCTTTCCTTTGAGAAGCAGGCCGGCATTGCGGCACAAGGGCTTCCAAATAGGGCGTGCCTCCTAGAAACCGCTTTAAAGGGAATCCAGAGTTAGCTTTCCCCATTTAGGGTCCTCCTGCTGCGTCTACACTCTGTGATTAATGCAGTTTAACCCCACTTGACTCAATACTGAGGGCGGCAGTTTGGCAGAGAAGGCTCAAAACCTTGTCAAGCTCCCTGGCTTCCATACCATGGAGCCAGGCGAAAGTGGGGTCAAACTGCACCCCGGAAGGGGGGGGGAGAGCCTCGAGTTGGGCAGGGTAAGGCCGGGAGAAGGGGAGAGGGCCAAGGGGGCCAAACACTTACATTACATGCATGGCATGCTTACCTCTGCTCTGGGTGGCCAGGAGCAAAAGCGCTGCGGAGACAAAGAGGGCGAGGCGCTCCATGGTCCCGCTTCCCTCACCCGCGATCTGCTCCTGCGTGGAATCCGGGCAAACCTGGCCGACCCGCCCCTCCGCCTTTCTCCAACCCTGTCCCCAAGACCCCCCAGCTAAGCAACTCCCAAAGTTCCAGCTCCCCAAACTGAACGCGCTCCAAGTTTTCTAAAGACCCGCCTCCTTGGAGGATTCGGCCAATCCGGAGAGGGCGCGGAGGGACCGGGGCCAATCAACGGAGACGAGGGGGGATCCTCTATATTCGGACAAGACACAAGGGACTGAGTCATCGCAGCGCCCCGCCCGCAAGTCATAGGAACCCGCTGCCTGCCTGCCTGCCTCGGGTGGGGCTCCGCTGCCCCAGGGAACAGGCAGCTGAGTCCCCAAACCAAACCAGGTCCTTAAGTCAACACAACTGTATTGGCGAAGGCTTTCATGGCCGGAATCACTGAGTTGCTGAGAGTTTTCCGGGCTGTATGGCCATGCCCCAGAAGCATTCTCTCCTGACGTTCCGCCCACAACTATGGCAGGCATCCTGAGAGGTTGTGGGGTCTGTTGGAAACTAGTCAAGTGGGGTTTACATATCTGTGGAATGTCCAGGGTGGGAGAAAGAACTCTTGTCTGGGTTGTTGTAGGTTTTTCTGGGCTGTATGGCCATGTTCTAGAGGCATTCTCTCCTGCCATTTCGCCTGCATCTATGGCAAGCATTCTCAGAGGTAGTGAGGACCTCACTATTATTATTATTATTATTATTATTATTATTATTATCTTTATTTGTACCCCGCTAGCATCTCCCGAAGGACTCGGTGCGGCTTACAAAGGCCAAGGCCTCAATAAAACAATAGCATAACAAATACACAACTTAAAGAAAATCAAAAACAATAAAAGCAAAATCAAAACAACAAAAAACAATACACCAGAACACGATAAAACTATGGCCGGGCCAAATGTAATGGGTACAGATTAAAAAGTGCTGGGTGTGACAGGTGGTATGTCGGATTTTAGGGTAAGTGCAGTGTGCAGGCAATCTTAAACTCTAATAAAGTGCTTCTGGGACAGATTGCTGGAGTTTTCCTATTCTGGAAAGGCACATCGGAACAGCCAGGTCTTCAAGTTCTTCCTAAAGACTGCCAATGTAGGAGCCTGTCTGATGTCTCTGGGGAGGGTGTTCCAAAGTCGGGGGGCTACCACAGAAAAGGCCCTGTCTCGCGTCCCCACCAAACGTGCCTGCAACACAGGTGGAATCGCGAGCAGGGCCTCTCCGGATGAACGAAGTGAACGCGTGGGTTCATAAACGGAGATGCGGTCATGCAGGTAGGCTGGTCCCAAACCGCTGAGGGCTTTGTAGGTAAGCACCTGCACCTTGAATTGGGATCAGAAAATAAACGGCAGCCAATGGAGCTCCTCACTACCTCTGAGGATGCTTGCCATAGATGCAGGCGAAACGTCAGGAGAGAATGCCTCTAGAACATGGCCATATAGCCCGAAAAAATACCTATAACAACCCAGTGATTCCAGCCATGAAAGCCTTCGACAATACATTGAACTCTTGTCTGCTTGAGGCAAGTGTGAATGTTGCAATTGGCCACCATGATTAGCCTTGAATGGCCTTGCAGCTTCAAGATTTTGATTTCCTCTATGAAAAGAACAAAATCTGGCTACCAGTATTTTAAAAAGTCCAAAATCAAAACCATAAATAAAGAATGACACTCAAAACCAGGGGAATTCCAAAAAATAAACAATCAGAGCCAGCTAATCACCTCCCAACAAAGGATTTCCTTAGGCAGTAAGCAACCAGTTGGAAACTTGGGAAATTGGGCTTTTATATATCTGTGGAATCATGTCTAGGGTGGGAGAAAGAACTCTTTTGTCTATTTGAGGCAGGTGTGAATGTTGCAATTGGCCACCTTTTTTTCGTATAGAAAAGTGCTTTTATCAGTGCTCTGGGTTTGTTTAATTTTCAAGTTATACGTTCTCTGAAGCAGAAAAAGAGCAGGTGGGGAGTGTCCTAAATTTTCTTCTTTTATTTCTGTGTTCTTTTTTAATATATATTTTATTGGTGCATGGTCTGCCAGGGCTTTAATTGTGCTTCATTTTTGACTTGAGTGATGTTTGGAGTTTTCATGTACATGTCTATCTGTGTGTGTAGGTTTTCTATAAACTGTGTGACCCAATTGTTGATTGAGTTTGCGGATGACTAGGACATCTAGAAATGTCAGTTTTCCTTTCTTTCTTTTTCCATGGTGAATTGGATGTTTGGGTGGATGCTGTTGAAGTGGTCCAGGAACTTATTTAGTTCTTCTCCATGGTTCCAAATTGTGAAGGTGTCATCCACATATCTGAACCATAGTGGGCTTTTTTGTTGCTGTTTCCAGTGCAACGCTGAAAAAACGGGAATTCCAGGCAGGAAACAATTCGGGCCAGCTAATACCTCCCAACAAAGGATTCCCCAGGCAGGAAGCAGTCAGGCTTTGAAGCTGCATTGCCATTCAGTGCTAATCAGGGTGGCCAACTGCAACATTCACACCTGCCTCAAACAGTTAAGAGCTCTTTCTCCCACCCTGGACAGATATATAAACCCCACTTTGCCTAGTTTCAACAGACCTCACAACCTCTGAGGATGCCTGCCATAGATGTGGGTGAAACGTCAGGAGAGAATGCTTCTGGAACATGGCCATATAGCCCGGAAAACTCACAGCAACCCAAAGTTAAAGTGGATTTTGTGAAAGGGTAGAAACAGAATGGAAAGTATGTATCAGAGATGACAAACTGTGCATTCACCCAATGCTTAAACCGTATGTTTTAGAAGTTTGGCATAACAGGATCCAAAGCACACAACTACCAGCTGAGCAACTGCCAGCTACAATGAGTTACTTAGTCTGACTAGATATCACATTGTTCTGACTTTTTCCCATAATATTCAGCATTTCCGCAGTTAATATTATGCGGAAAATAAGGCCATGTTGTTATTTATTTATATTTGTATTCTGCTTCCCCACAAATTGTGAATCAATGTTACTCACAATACAAATTAACAACATGCAAAAATGAACATTGAAATAGACTTAAATGATTAACATTATTAAAAGAATTCAAGCCTCAAGATAAAAGAATAAAATGCAATTAAAAAAGATAAAAACAACCCCTATTACAACAATCCAGTTTAAAAAGTTGAGCACTTTCAAAATCTAGCCTGTTTTGAAAAAAACTATGTTTTAGAACTTTTTGGAATAAAAAGGTTTTAACCTGCTCTTAGAAGCCATGTGATTTGAAAAAGGTTATGACTGAGTTAATAACAGTAATAACAGTAATCACTACTCTTTATACAAATGTCTTCCTTGTTTCTTCTAGGTCAAGTACATTTTCAGTTACCACATTCATTGGCAACAGAATCTGTTACACCGGGGCTTCATCACTTCCTAATGAACTTGTTATTTGGAACTTTGGCAGGCTTTTGAGAGGCTTCTTTCCTGTCCACTTCACATTGGGTGTAGCTACTCCATCTGTGCAATGTACTTCCTTTTAACACTTTTCCCAAACTAGAATTTGATCCCTTGGCTGATAAGAACAAAATCTTCACCTTTGCATTGCCTCAAGGAATGCTCAGTGACTGCAATTAATTCTGTGAACTAGTCAGCAGCAGATTTAAAGTTTATCATGATTTGGTACTGTTATCAAAGTGCAAAACCAATGAAGCAACTGCTCCAGCACTTTTTTTAGCACTGGGAAAAATTTCCTGTAAACTGGGTAGAAATGGTAAAAGTAAATGTTTCCCCTGATATTAAGTCTAGTTGTGTCTGACTCTGGGGGTTGGTGCTCATCTCCATGTCTAAGCCGAAGAGCCAGCATTGTCCGTAGACGCATCCGATTTCATGTGACCAGTATGATTGCATGGAACACTGATTCCTTCCCATCAGAGCAGTACCTATTGATCTACTCACATTTGCATGTTTTTGAACTGCTAGGTTGGCAGAAGTTGGGCTAACAGCGGGAGCTCACCTTGCTCCCCAGATTCAAACAACCAGCCTTTTGGTCAACAAATTCAGCAGCTCAGTGGTTTAACCCACTGCACCACCAGGGGCTCCGCGTTAACTGCAAAAGTACTGGAATTTATAAAACCTGTAGTAAATTTGGAAAAAACTGTAAAGCACAAGCATAATCTCATTCAAAACCTGAGCTAGGCAAGTGACTTAGGTCCCAGAATCCCTCAAGCCACTATGGAAGGTAGCCATATTGTCTTGGAATTGTAGTCACAAGTTCTGTTTCCAAAATAAATTGGAGTCTAAAAATATGCATACATTCAGAGTGGCAATTTTGAGAGTGATGTGTGGACAGCAGGATTTGCTGAAAGACACATTACAAAAAAAAAAAAGATGTGGAAAGTGGCTTCAGAAGAAAACATGGGTTCCCATGATAGCTTTATGGGAGCATGTGATGGATAAACAACAAAAACAAACCCCAAAGTTCTTTTTACTAATTCAATCAGTGTGTGCTTGTTGGCAGATACTGCATGTTTTTGCAAATAGCCTATATACTCTGAGTCCTTCTATGAGGGGGAGAGGGCGGGATATTAAACAAAGATTTTTAAAAAGCTACCAACGCTAGGGACCCATTTAGTTTTTATTCCATTTCCACCCAGCTAACAGGCCCTAATGATTGCATCACATTGATTTCTCAGTCTGTTGCCAACATTGTTGAATTTTCACTTAGCAACAACCCATTGGGGTGGGGTGAGTATACTACACGTTTTGAACTGTTGCTTTGCTGAAAAAGAGAAGAACAGCAGGAAATGTTTTTTAAAAAAACAACAACAAAAAACAGTGCTTTAAAAAAACTAAAATCTGTCTAAATCTTGTAACTGATTGTGTTTTTGTTTTAGGTTGCCTGAGCGTATTTGTAAAAAAGCAAAGCAAAACTTTGCTGATTTCAAGAAACATAGTTTCCATTAGAATTAGATGGAGCCAGTTTGTTTTCTGTTGCTCCAGAGACTAGAAGCAATGGATTCAAGTTACCAAAAAAAAAAAAAAAGATATTACGTTTCTACATTAGGAGAAAACTTTTTTTTTTAACTTTAGCAGTTGTTTGAGAGTGAAATGGAATGCTTCGGAAGGCCTTGGACCTCCAAATAGCAACCTTCACACAGGGGTTAGGTGGGCATCTTCCAGGACTGCCTTAGGACCTCTTC